GCGCATCGACGTGTGCAGGGATCCCAGCCGCGGGGCAGTTTTCTCTACCCATTTTGTTTGTCTTTCTTTTCACTAAACTGCAGGTCGCCCTTTTTACAAGTCTCTGTAGCTGGTTGGCAACCAGTGACCTTTACTAATCCCTTTCCTCTCAAGTGCGCTCTTCGCTTCTTGCTGGGCAGCTTTGATGGATTGTTCGGGTGACATTGTGCGAAATTCACATCTTTCTCTGAAGTCCGCCGTGAAGTTTCGTCTCTCTCTATCGCGACCGTGTGCGCTCCCGTCCCCTCTTCGTTGTGTGACAACGCTCAAGGCCGCCCGGAGTCACCCCGAGCGGCGGGGTGGCGGATAATCTGCTCCTCCATAGGGTGGCATTGCCCGAAGGCTGGGCGGGAAGTATCCCAAGCCAATGCTGCCCCCAGCACCCCTCCCTAAAAGCCAACAGCAGCGCCAGCACCGCCGCGGGGCGGGATCCCGGCCCTCGGGTCCGCACGGAGAGACACCGAACGGCGGAGCGAGTGCACGGAGAGGCACCCCCCGCGCCTTCAGTGCTCTTTCCGCTGAGCGTTATTTGCAGCATATGTTTCACACATCCATTTCTCTTTCAGCCCATTCTTCTCTGCTCTGGCTGCTAACACGGTTATATTCACCTTGAAATTTCCTCTGCTATTTTCCAATTAAAAGCTTAATAGCCCTGGAAACGGAGTTCATGTGGTGCAGTTTACCGTAGCCCCTTCTCCTGAAAAGCTTTCTGCTGGGATCCCATTATGTGCTTGAATAAACCTTTTCTACAAACAGAAATGGGAATCGGGGCTGTCAGGTGTTGGGTTACAATAGACTTCCATGCGGGGGACGTCTCGCTTGCATAAATACAAACCCGGCCCTGTGCGGAGATGTTATCAAATACGGGGATACGGAAAATATTCTCATCAAATACGAGAAAAGGTTTACGGCACTGTACCAAATTTCAACCTCCGCGCCAGGCGCGCAGACAAGCGACAGGGGGTTCCGGCCACGAGCGGAGCACCTCCGGCGTATCGCACCCCCCAGCTCCCCACCCTCACCCCCCAGGACAGTGGAGTCTTCCCCTCCACCCCCGCAGCTCCGATTTGGGGCGAGCGATTCGAGGGCGCCGCGCGCCGCGTGTTGCCCTATGAAGATGCGTTTGTTCGGTCTGCGGAGAGGGCACCGCCCGTATGTTTTTCTACCAGTGAAGGGCTGAAGACGCGCGGGTGCTCGCGGGAGGCTGCGGGCCCCCTGGGTGCGGTGCGGACAGCGGTGCGGGGAGAACCGTTCCAGCAGCGGGCGGCTCTCCGTGCCCGTCCCGGCGCTCCCCTCGGGCAGAGCGCACGGTGCGTTCCTGCTCGTCCTCCTCACACCCAAAGTACGGCTCCCGGATCTTGACCCAAAACTACAGCAGTAGTTATAGGACAGAGTGATAAATGGAACACGGCGTGAGTGGCTTTATGGCAGCACGCGCGCCGCTCTCTATTCTCGCTCTTCGTTCTGTTTCGCAAGTTTTTAACCTGATTTTCTAATTAAGCACTCTCGTTAGATGGTGCGATTCGCTCAGGAGTTACGAGGAAGGGGTACCGGGGCTCTCAGAGATTTGAAGGCAGCAAAACGGACTCTCGTCGGGGCCGCAGCCGCTGCTCCGGGCGTAGACAGGCGCTGCCGGCCGGCATCGGAGCTCCCGCAGGAAAAGTCCTGCGGGGAATCGCCGTGCTGGGAATCGTCAGTGTTCCCATATTTCCGTTCTCTCGCATATTACACTTGGGATTTTAACTAAACTCCCTCTGACATATCCCTGTTTCAGCGAAAAACCTTTCCACGTTCTCCCTCTCTCTCCCCAACGCGGCACTGAACACAGCAGAGGCTTCGGTCAGCGGCCGCGCCCCGCGATGCCCGCCTCGCACCGCAACCGCAATCTGCAATCCCCGCAGCCGCCCCGTGGAACTGCAGAAATAGACCCGCGCAGCTCTGGGGCGCGGCGAGTCCCGGCCCCCTCTGCCCTGACCTTCCAAACTTTGAGAAAACTTTGGTCACACGTCCCCGCTTCCTCCCCCCCCTCCGCTCTCTCCTGCTTCTGCGTGTTGGGGGACGTGGGTGGCACAAACCCCCGTCTGCCCCGAGCGGGGACGCGCCCCTTAGGCAAAGGGTGGGCTGAGGGGACCCCTCCATCCTTTCCTTCTTTCCTCCCTCTCTCCTCCCTCCCCTCCCTGCCCCTGGCCGCAGGTGGGTGGTGGAGGGGGGCGGGCGGGGCCGGAGGCGGGCGGAGGGGGCCGAGCGGCGGGCGCTGGGCTCGGCGGGGCGGCGCGGGCAGCGGCAGTGGCGCTTCGGCCGGCGGCAGCTCTCTGCCCGACGGTGTCACCGCGGCGGGCGGCGGCTTCCCCCGCCGGTCCGGGGAGCGCCGAGCAGCCCGCCCCTGCTGCGCCCTTCTCCATCCCGGAACCGCCGGGCTCCTCCCGCGGGCATGAACGGCTACGGCTCCCCGTACCTCTACATGGGCGGCCCCGTGTCGCAGCCGCCGCGGGCGCCGCTGCAGCGGACGCCTAAATGCGCCCGGTGCCGCAACCACGGCGTGCTGTCCTGGCTGAAGGGCCACAAGCGCTACTGCCGCTTCAAAGACTGCACCTGCGAGAAGTGCATCCTCATCATCGAGCGGCAGCGGGTGATGGCCGCGCAGGTGGCCCTGCGCCGGCAACAGGCCAACGAGAGCCTGGAGAGCCTCCTCCCGGACTCGCTGCGCTCCCTCCCGGGGCCGCCGGGCAGCGCCGAGCCCTCCGCCGCCCCTCCGGGGCCGCCGCCCTGCGCCGGGCCGCAGCGGGCTCCTGCTGAGCTGGCAGCCGCCGCCGCGCTGCGCTGGGCCACCGAGCCGCCCCCCGCGCTGCTGGGGCCGCTCCCCAAGGCAGGTGAGGCCGCGGCGGGTTCGCGAGGCTCCGGGAAGAGGGGAAGGGGCGCGCGATCCCCTCGCCCCGACGGCGCGTCCGGGTGGGAGGGGAGGGAAGGCCTGGCCGCCTCCTCTTGCCCGGCAGGAGCGTTTTGTAGTTATTGGACGCCTGAACAGAGCCCGGCTCTGATTAGCCCTAAACAGAGTGTTGGGCCCGGTGCGAGTCTCGGCTCTGCTCCCGGTCCATCTCTGCGTCTATCCTCCACGGCCGTGTAGCGAGAAAACGGGGATGGGAACAGTCGCTTTGTGTGGGGTGCGGGCCGAGAAGAGGGAGGGATGCACCGCCCGCAGGGAGGGCGAGCAGAGGCTGCTGTTCGGGGCTCCCCCGTGGTAACAGCCTTCAGCGGCCCCTAAGGAACGCGACCTTCGGTAACACGCTTCTCAACTAGGTGAGCTGCCTTCCCTTTCCCCGGCCGATGCCAGAAAATCCGCCAGGATGGCGAGGTGCGGTGTGAGCCTTCTCCGCAGATGATTGCAACTACGCGTCACGCCTCTGCTTCCTGCGCCCTGCCCCGGGAGCTGCGCAGGGTATCCTGCCCAGGGCTCGGGGGCGACACGGGTCTGCGCGCACGGCCGGGGCTGCTCTGTGGGCACGGCTCAGTCCGTCTCTTTGTCCCTCTCAGGTCGCAGCCCTCCTGCGGGCAGTGTGCGGGCAGCCGACCCTCGACTGCTTCCCCTGGCCGGGAAATGGGGTTCCCCCACCCCAGATTTTCTCCCTGCCGCAGCTCCCCGGCGGTGTGGAGCCTCTCGGCCCCAGGTGTGTTTTGCAGCACGGGGTCACCGGGAAAAAAAATAAAAAATGCGTCTTGGCCCTCGCCAGAAAGTGAAACAAATGCACTTCGCCAGCAGGATATAAATCTGGCGGGCAGGAGCACTATTGACTTGCATGCCCCAACTTTTCTTCCCCCTGATGTATGAACTTCCCAGCTTAAAAGATTACAGTAATCACGGGAGGACAGTGTAAATCGAATCTGATAGCAATAACTTTTGGGGAAGGTCAGGCCCAAGTGAAATGTTACCGAGCAACAGGCGGTTTGTGTGCAAAATACAATCAGAGCGTATTGATGAGGAATTCTTCCTTGCCAGCCAGTCAGCACTTTCTGCCAACAGCTCTGCGAGCGAAGGGACCGAGCGGGTCTCCATCCATCAGCCCCAGGGCGGGGGAAAGGAAACTTGGGGCGAGCTGGAAGATCGTGCTGTGAATAAAGGAAACGGTGCGAGAGAGGAGAACATTATCTCCTCCAGGGCTCTTTTGTCGCCCTGCGCCGTTAAGCAGATGGCTGTGCGCTGTTCCGAGCACTGAGAGGTTTTCCTGCTCACTACTTGCGCTAAAATTGCGGTCTGAATGGAGGATGCAGTTACTTGCTCCCCCGGTTTCAGACACCGGTCTCCAGGAAGGTCCCCGGTGCGCGATGGGATCGGACCCGTTTGCTTTAAGCAGAGTTTTCCTGCCGGAACGGGTCGTGTGCGGTGGGACCACCGCAAAGTTCTGCTCTAAGCCAGTGAATAACCCACAGACGGCTCCCGTCGCATCTGCAGCATCGAGACGCTCCTTCTCTGGACGCTGTGCTCACGTATCTCTGTCTCACAGGGTGTGATACGGCAGCAGTAAGTCACCAAGGCCAGCAGTTAATAGAACTGTGCTGAGTCTCCTGCTGGTTTCAGAGCAACCTCTTCGGTCAGAGCAGCTCTTTGGGGGCAGCAGCTCCCAGGAAGCACCCGAGGTGGGAGACGGAAGAAGGTCTGTGCTGACAGGCTTTTTTTTTTTTTTTTTTTTTTTTTTTTTGTAGAAACAGAATCAAAAAACGACACCTGCCCAAACGGCTACAGAAATCTGACCCGCAAATGTTTAGCCACTAAAAAAGATCCAACAACAAAACGACCCCGAATGAGAACTCCACATCTTGTATTTTTTAGGACAGCTTTCTTGCTTTCTGGTATTTCTGGTATGAGTCCGTGCTGACAGCAGAGGCAGGGAAAATAGCAGGTGTGTTCGTGGTCAGGGAAAATCCGTGCTGCAGAGAGAGATAGGGCTGTCATCTCGAGCAGAGAGCAGAGCCATTGCACAGCGGCTCAGCAGTGGGAATATCAAGGGAGCAAACGTGGGACCTAAAGCAGGAGAGCAGGCTTTCCTGAGATGCATTAATCTGCATAGAGCAGCTTCCCCCTCTCTCCGCGGTACTTTGCTTTGCGTTGTTTGCTTTACGAAGTTTGCCTCATCATCCTTAATGTGTAAATATGCAGGGAAAAATTGGGGTATGCATTGCTGCAGATTCCCAGCAGCTCAGTTGATTAACTCACATTTATTAGCCTACAGTGAACGCAGGCACGGTTCTCCCTTTGCAACGCTCCGTGTGTTCCAGCGGCAGGTCGGGCTGTGTGTCTGCACGACTGACGTTTGCTGAATGTTTTTCCCATCGTTGACATTAATGGGAAGACGATTTCCTCTGAGGAGGCAAAGTGAATGCGTGGAGAGAGGCAATTGGAAATAGAAGCTGCTTTAAAAACAAAACAAAACAAACAAAATCACCACCACCAGCAACAAAACGGAACATAAAAACTGGCCGTGCCCTCTGAAAGCCCCAGCATCGTCTCGCCGCGCGGAGAGAACTTTGAGTTGAGTGCAGTTTGGCTTTATTTCTAAGCACAAAGTAAATATTTTTAACCTGAGAATATAGATATTCAGGTTTAACACGTGCTAGCGACATTTCCATAGTTCTGTGCCCACGTAAAGGCGTCTCTCATGTATCTCCCCACACCTCTGCTTATTTAACGATCACTGTTTTCTGCCCTTTTTAAAAGAAAAGCCCCATCCCGGCGGCTCCGGCCGTCCCCTCCCCGGGCAGCGGGCAGCCCCCCGATCTCTGATGGCTCTGATGGCATTTCGTTTAAATGGCCCAAATCTCTTTTCCCGGGCGTGACTCTCAGCGAGCAGCGATGCGGTGCGGTGCTGTACGACGGGCCGTCCCGCAGCGATGCTGGGGGCGAGGATTTTTGCACGGGCTGTGCGGAGGGCACCGGCTGCGGGAGGAGAGTTTTTCAGAACTGGTTTTTCAGAATGCCAGTTCTCATCAGGATACCTTTAAACACACTGAAAACGAAGGTGAGCAAGAAAGATCTTGAAAATAATCATTAACTCGATGATCAGGCGCGTTTCCCATTAGGGAGAGCAAATCTTACACCATTTTATTGTTATCGTTTTATTCTTATTATTTATATATTTTTTAGCTCCCCTTGACACTTGTTATCAGTCGATCATTTGCAAAGCACGGTAGCTCTGACCTAAGTACGTGCATGTGGTCCGCAGGTACCTCAGCACAATCTATCTATGTGGAAATTAGGACGCTTAAATGCCGCTCCGTCTCTGGCACGACAGGGACAGAGGCAATTAGTTGTCCTCGGGCTGCCCGCGAATGTGTAAATTGCCCTTTCATTCAGACGTGAATTATTCTTTACATGCCTTCTCTGGTAATAAATGTGTGGCTATGAAGGTGTGGGGGGATTAAGAAGGAAAGGTAGCATGATCCTCCTGTTTTGTTTTGTTTTATTTTCCTTTATTTTTCATGTAAAAGCTACACCAAGTTCTTAGCATTCTCTCGAAAGGATAATGTTACCGGTTTGTTTGCTTTCTGCATTCCCCTCGGATGCTAAAGCAAGACTAAAGCAGAGTGCATAAAAAAGTTCATATGCACGTTGCCTCACACAGTATACCTGCTTCTCTATTAGCACTGGACGGAGAGCATAACCAGCTGAAAAACGGGTACCCAGCACAAGTCGTGCACCTCAGAGAGAAGGGCGGATCCTCAGAAGGGCACCTCAGCTCTGCTCCCACTCTCATCCTCTGCTGCCCGAGCCAGCAGCACCTGCGGCTCTATAGGATGGCTATCGCTCCTGCCTCGAGCAGAGAACAGCCCTTTGCCTTGCTGACTGCCTGCTCTGCTCTGCCAGGAGGCGATAGTTTACAGCAGAGGAATGTAGCTCCCGTTCTGGAGAGCATGGTGACTTCCTGCTCAGCTTACTCAGACCTTGACTCGTTTCTCAGAGTGAGAAAGTGGGTAAATTGCACCACAAATGTACTGTCCATTCCCAGAGTGAGACAGTGAGGCAGACCTGCAGGAGGCGAGCAGCAAGGATCTCCCATTTACATGCCTTTAGTTCCCTCTCAGTCTGGTAGGGGTGACTGTGAGCACATTTTGGAAGCCTTTGCTTTTTTTGTGGCGTATCTAGTTGCACTGATCACTGTGAGCTTGGGAAACCAGGCAAGTACTTCCACTGGTTTCTGCAGACTGTCTTTCACGTTTGTGCATTCAAAAGCAATGCTGTGTGAACACAGCCTCTGTCTGCATCAGCTTGCAGAGTGTCCCCCTCCCCAGGTGACAAGCAGTTTGTCAGGAAGTCAACACTGCACTGCATGAGGGAGGTCAGCAGAACAGCGTCCTTGGACAAGTGACTGCGAATAATCTCAAGCAAATACATTGCCCCCTTTGCACATACACTGGGAAAGCAATTAATCTTTTTATCTTCTTTCTGACTAGCAGTTTTATTCCAAAGGTTTCCATTCTCTGGCTAGGCTTTACTCATGTGATCAGAGAATGGGGCATTCCCTTTTTGTGTGTCCCTCCGGCAACAGCAAGGTCCAAGGGTTTGTGCTCAGCCATGTGCTCAGCTCTTGCTCTTCTTAGCTTCACACATGAAAGGCAAGGTAGGTACCTGAAACAACTGCTGAGGGAGGTTGCTGAGCACCCAGTCTTAGAAATATTTAAAGCCCAGCTGAGCGGGGGCTAAAACAATTTGCTCCAAATTTTAGGTTGGTCCTGCTCTGAGCAGGAAGTTGGACCAGATGCCTTCAAGTGGTCCTTTCAGATTTTTTTTTTTCTTTCTAAATTTTGTGTTCTAATCAATGAAGGCATCAGCTGTGATCAGGTTCAGAAGAGAGACCTGTGGTTCTTGCTGGGGAAGGAACTGATTTCTGCAGAACCAGAACTGGAATATATTGATTTATATGAAAAGCTCTTAAACCCTGAGCCAGCAGATGTGTTGCAGTGATTCTACCAATACTGTTGCGCTCGCAGAGGAAATTTTGGTCTTCCAAGATCTCTCTGAATATCTTCATCTCACAAGTGAGGAATCACAGAGAGAAAGTGCTCAAGTTCCTCTGAGAGAACTTGTACTTGTGTGGCTCATTGCTGTCTTGTAACTAGTGAAGAAGGATAAAAGGATTGGTGTTGCACATTTGATACAGGAGAAAAAATCATACTGCTTCTTTTCTTATATGTGGAAGGGTGAGACAGATAACTGTAAAGAAGCATAAAATGCCTAGATCATGTCACATTACTCTTTTGTAGTTTTGTTCTCATGTGATGTTGCAAAGAGAATTTAATTTTAGCAGAAAAATGCTTTTTTTTCCCTAGGAGCCTGCTCTGTTCCCTGTAAGAAGAGTCTATCCTCAGGTGTCCATAAAGCCATTTGGACTCAGCTTTTGTTGACTTCTCTGCCTTCCTTTGCAGACATCAGCGAGGAGCGGTTGGGCGATGCCAGTGGAACAGACAATGCTGAGACCTACAGTGACAAAGACACAGACCAAAGGAGCTCCCCAGACATGACTAAAGCCAAAACCTGCTTCACTCCTGAAAGCCCAGAAATTGTATCAGTGGATGAGGTTGGTTATGCAGTGCAGAAAAATGGTGGGAGCACAGAGAGCCGTCCAGAGAGCCCCAAGTACCATGCAGAGCAGAACCACCTCCTGATAGAAGGTCCTTCTGGGACAGTTTCTTTACCTTTTAGCTTGAAGGCCAACAGACCTCCACTGGAAGTGCTGAAAAAGATCTTCCCTAACCAGAAGCCGACCGTGCTGGAGTTGATCCTGAAGGGATGTGGTGGTGACCTGGTGAGCGCTGTTGAGGTTCTCCTGTCCAGTCGGTCTTCAGTGGCCAGCGGGGAGAGAACTTCTGCAGAGTCAGATGGTCTAGTTCTGCCTTCCAGCGGGCACATTTTTGAACACACGCTGAGTTCCTATCCTATTTCCTCTTCCAAGTGGTCTGTGGGCTCGGCCTTCAGGGTCCCCGACACGCTGAGGTTCTCTGCCGATTCCAGCAATGTTGTGCCCAATCCTCTGGCCGTACCTTTGCAGCACCCATTCCCTCAGCCACCTCGCTACCCGCTGATGCTGAGGAACACTTTGGCAAGAAACCAGTCCAGTCCTTTCCTGCCTAATGACGTCACCCTGTGGAACACCATGACGCTGCAGCAGCAGTACCAGCTGCGGTCCCAGTACGTCAGTCCTTTCTCTAGCAACTCGGCCAGCGTCTTCCGAAGCTCTCCTGTCCTTCCTTCTCGCTCATCGGAAGATCCTAGGATCTCAATCCCTGATGATGGATGTCCTATTGTGTCTAAGCAACCTCTTTACACAGAAGATGAGTATGATGAAAGGTCTGATTCTTCAGACTCGAGAATACTCAACACATCTTCATAGAATGACTTTTGGCATACGATAAGTAAGTGATATTTGCAGTGCAGCTGAACTACTGGGCCTGAAGAGGAGAGACATATACTCTACGAAACCCTTGCAATTGTATTAAAAGATGACTTTGCTTGGTATTGTACTATAGCAATAAAGACATAACTTATTGAATTTCTTGCACTTCATTGGATAATGCCAAATAGCAATACTCTGGCTTTAGCTCTGAGTGTGTACTACAAAGGAAGACTTTACAGCCATCGGTTACGGGACTCTGGAAGATTCGTAGCGGAAACAGAAGCTCAAGGTCTACTTTGTTCCTTAACTCAGACAACTGGGGATATTAAACTAGAATACTTGAATGCTGTTTTATAAGAGAGAACTCCTCAGGACATAAGAAATCAAACATAAGTAGTTCAATTGCAGATGGACTAAAACAAGGACCAGTCATCATCTTTGCATTGAAAGGAAAGGCAGAAGAATTATGCACATGGAACTAGCATGAACTGCTTCTGTACTGTTTGAGCTTGGACACTTTTTAGAGAAATAATCTTACGAGTTATTCTTTTCCCATGGCTAGGTCGAAACGTGTAATGTCAGTGTAAAACCAATTACAGCTGTGAATTGCATGAAGTGTGTTGTGAAATGAACACAAGATTAAACATTGTCAGGTTAATGTAGCATGCTAAGGACTCTAGAAAAATAAACTAAGATGATGATCTTGGTTTATGTCATTTATATTGGGCAAATAGCATTTCTGAGGATAGAGAGTTGATTAATTGCCAGCTGGGGTAACAATGTCTAGCTCCAGCAATAGCAGTCAAAGGAAATCTATTTTTCCCAGTCCAGGTTCTGCCCTCATGCCTCGTAGCTTAAAACTGAGACTCAGCAAATGTTATCATGAGGGAAGCTTAGGTCCTTGGATATGTGCTACAAACACTTCCAAGTTCAGGAGAGTAAAGCTACAGTCACAGTAATCAGAAAAACAAACAAACAAACAAACAACAACAACAAAAAAAAACCAACAAAAACAAAACAAAACAAAATTGGCTCTCCTGACCCTTCAGAAGCATCTTTTTCCCTATGCTATAGAAACAGAAATAGGAGATAGGATGTAATAGCAGCCCTTTCTTTAAAAAAATGTTGAGTTAAATGGCAACTTTCCTGCATCTGGAAAAGTAATGACTTGAACAATTTATTGCATGTTTGCATGCATGAATTCCCCTTTTATCTTACCTACACTACAGTGTCAGAATAACACCACAAATTGCTTCTGGTAACGAATGCCACAACATTCATCATCCACCTAGATGTTTGTTAAGGTTTTTGTGCCATTTTTTGAACCATTTGCAAGTGACCACATCTGCTTGGCAGCTGGATTTTCAATAGCACATCTCTCAATGTAGATGAAATGGATGGCAGGCTTGCCAGCTGTACAGACCAGCCCTCCTCCTCAAACCCAACGAAGGTTCCCCTAGAGGGGGGAGATCTGAAGCAAGTGGGCTGTAAAACTGTAGAATTTGTCAGGCATGTTGTCTAGTGCCACTGCTAATGTGAATGCCTGTGTTCTCATTCGGCGCTTCATACTTTGTAAAGTTTGTGTACCCAATGAATCCCACAGTTTATATTGATATTGAACAAGCACAAGCAGAAGGAGAATAAAATAAATAATGGTTTTATTTTCCTTGGGGGACAAATGATCAGAAAGACACTTTTTATTGCATATTTTTGCAATCTCTTCAGTAAAGCAATCTGTAGTTTTATGCTAGAGAGCAAAGAAGGGAAGGTGGAGAGTGGAGGAAAGAAAATTAATGATGTTCCTTATGCAAATGTAAGAACATCTGGAATTTTCATCAATGTAGAACTGCAGTTTTGTACTGACAGATTTGCCCATACTCAATGGCACTTGTAAACAAATTCATCTTCAAGACACTCCAGACAGAAAAGTAATAGATACTTGTAAAACAAGCTTGATCTTGCAAAGAGAAAGAGATGAGGTAGTGAAATTCTGTGCTCTGACATCATAGAGAAGTTAGGTTAGGAGAAGGCTAGATGTGAACAAACAGATCCATGAGCTCAGGTCTTGAGCTTGTGCACCAGGCAGATTTCCCTTCAGCAGAGACTTTTCTGTACGTGTCCTTGCAGGTTGAATGAATTCTGTTTTTTTTTTGTTTGTTTGTTTGTTTGTTTGTTTTGTTTGTTTTGTTTTGTTTTGTTTTGTTTTGTTTTGTTTTGTTTTGTTTCCTAACAGAGGATGAATAACCTCCAGCAGGAAGACCAAACAGTGGCAGCCGACAGCTCATAGTGATCTTACACACTGTGGTCTCTGGCTTTTCAGTGAGCAGAAATTTGACATCTTGGAATTGGGACATATCTTTCAGAGAAAGATGACCTTTGGCTAAATTGGGGTAAACTGTTCTTACTACAAACACACTAGGTGAAAAATGCAGGGTTAGCAATATAATTGCTTTCTATCTTGATTTCTATTATCTATGATTTCTATCTCTTTTGGTAAATTTTTCTGTGAAAGCACAGAAATTAAAACAGTCGTTCTTTCAGGAATCATAAAATATTTTTTGACTAAATTCAGAATAACTTTTTTTTTTTTTTTTTTTTTTTTTTTTTAATAAAGTAAACCTAAACATGTTCAACGAACAAACAAAGAAACAAAAACACATCTTGTTTGTCTGCAGTACAAATTCTGCAGTATTTTGGATATCTAAAAGTTCCATTAAACAAACCAACAGGCAAACAAACTAACCAACCAACCAACCAAACTGACTCAAATAAACCAATTGGATTGACCAGCAGTGGTGCCACTGAAAATGTGTTTTGTTCTTGCAGATATGTTTCCAGATTGTCACTAAATGTGGATGTCATTTCTAGCTTCCACTCATCATGCAGCAAGGATCTGGGGCCCTTGGCATTTTGGCAGGACCCCATGGCACTGGAGTTCTGCTCCTTATGTCTCTACTTGTGGGAAATGCCCACTTCCTCCTGCCCTTACAGTGTGGACAAATGGGAGATGAGGGAACCCCTGCTCTCCTATGCTCTATCCCATTCCATAACATACCGTTCCATCCCATCCCATCCCATCCCATCCCATCCCATCCCATCCCATCCC